TGCAAACCAACGACCCGAGTACTGCCAGGCGGAAGTGCTAATTACTTAGTTACTGTGCTGCCCATAAATACACAATTTTTCCTGCAGATTTATGTGCATTTATTTATTTTTTTTTTAAAAAGTGAACTTAGCCTTTACCTGAAACTAGAACTTTTTTTTGCTTATTCATTAAAATCATGCACTCCAAAAACAAATGATTACATAACATTTCAGTAGTGTTTAAGAGAAGTATTAAGCATATATTAAAGATCGTATCTGGAAGTCTCATCTCGTGCTTAAATAACATTGTGGTTTCTCTTTTATGTAATATGTTCAGGTTGTTTAGAAGCAGAAGCAGCTGTACAAGTTGTATTCATTGAATAGACGTATTTAGCTGCATTTACATAGTTTTCCAACCAGAAACTCCAGTTGTAGCACATTTTTATTCCCACTCACGTCAGTGGTTTTCTATCCTTGATTCAGGTGAGAAAACACTTTTTTCAAAACAAAAAGATAATGTGGAAATGTACTGTACGTTTTGTACTGTATGGTTTTAAAAAATGTAATTCCTAGCATGCCCTTTTACCTAAATGGGGAAATATGTCTAGCATGATGAAATATGAAGCATCTGTGTGCATACCACTAAAGGCTGGAGGGAGGAACACACAGTACAGCAACAAGGTCCAAGGATGTTTGTTGTGTGATGAAATATATATATATATAAAATATATATACATATTGTATATATATATACTGTGTGTATACAGTATATGCACATACATACATACACATACTGCCCCTCTAAACCAACAGACCCAAGAAAACAATACCCCGTGTTTTCTCAGTCCCATAAGAAATAGCAATGACCCCATATTTTTTGATAGCTGTATATAGCTGGGCGGCTGGGAGATGTACTGCTAAATTGTCGGAGCTTAGAATGCTACAGGGAAACCAAATTTTTGTAGTGCCCCTCTAGTTAGCCAGGGGGAGCTAGCTAGGTTTTTAGTTAGAGGATATATAGCAGCCTGATATATAGCAGCCTGGTATGAGCCAGCCTGGGATGAGTCAGCCAGGTAACTTTAAGTCAGGGCTGAGGGCTCTGCAGGTCAGTTCCCTGATACCTCCCCCTGCTCTAGAAGCTTGAGAAGTTTCTGGAAGGCAGTGGGTGGGGGTGAGGAGGGACTGATCTGCATACTCAGGGGACTCTGACCAATCCCCAAGCAGGAGGATTGGCATGAGGTCAGGGCAGCCCTTAAGTATGAGAGAGCCTTACCAGGAAATAGTCAGTGTCGGATGGAAGATGATGTGGGAAGGCTGGAGTGTGGAGCCTGGGAGGGGGCCTAGGGAGGGGCCCCACCTGCAGGCAGAATCTTGGAAGGAGGATCTCTCAGCCTCAACCACCTGTTGAGAGTGGACAGCCTGGGAAGCAGGGAAGGAGCCAGCCCAGCAAAACGCCCAAAGGCAGCCGTCAATTGACATGCTTACAGGAGAGGACTGAGTGAGTAATCCTGCACCCCCTGGACTGGATAAGGGGAGAGGGCAGTCAGGCGGGAAACTCAACTAGCTCTTCTTCTGGGGCTGATCTACTACTGTGGCAGTTTCTGGGTCCCCTTCCTTAGAGATTCCCACAGGCAGCTGGGTGAAGAGGAGGATTCATCAGAAGGGCTGGAGGAGGTACACCAGAAGGACTGGAGAGCACTTCAAGGAGAGGCTGTTTGTCTATGGACTTGTACATACTGTAGTTGCTAAGGAGATTTGTCATCATGTTCACAGTTCCTTGGGCATCCCATACACCCTTCAACCCCATCCATGTTCAATACCCCTTAACAAAGTAAAAAAAACAAGCTCAAGGACTGTTTACTGTCTCCAGTCGAGTGTGCAAGTGTTGAAGAAAATGCGTGTTGCCTGGCTGTGCAGGACTATAGGGGGACTCAAAAACTCAGCGACTGCTAAGAGGGTAGTGCTACATTTTAAAAAGGAAGAATTTGTTTTTTCACCTGCAACAAATATGGGACATCAATATTTTGTAAGGGCTATGAAAAGCATTAGATATAGGGGATAGTTTATTAGGGGTTGGGCAATAAACGGAGCATGACCTTGGGTTTAACCAAGTGTCTTCCAGGTTAGTTCTGACATTTCTCACACACGTTAAAATCAGCATTTTTTACTAGAAAATTACTTATAACCTCCAAATATATTTTTTCTGAAAGCAGAGGCCCTGGAAAAGTAAATGGTGGCTGTTGCAATTTTTTTTATCTCAAATGATATTTTAATATTTGGGCAGCCTCTAAACGATCATTTTCAGGAAAAAATACACTTACCAATGTATTTTACTGTATACAAACACTATACCCAATTTTTGGTAAAATACAAAAGACTTCACCAAGTAAAAAGCTTTAACATTTTGTATGCCAGTGAAATGGCGACAAACTATGGCACTTAAATATCTCTATAGGTGACTCTTTAAAAGCTATTACAGATTACCAGTTTAGCTTTAATCCTGAGCTCTGGTGCTAGAAGTATTGTTCTTACTCTGACGTTCGCATGATTCCTCACGTGCGGTGCAATCACAATTTACATGTGCGTGTGGAACCTACTTGTTGATATGCAGTTATTTGTGACCATGAGGGAATGGGATGGGTTGCTTTACAATTTTTTACTTGTTATTTATTTGATTTAAATGTATTTATTTATATGTTTATGCACTGTGGATATTGTGTGAGATGTATCACTGTGAATAATGTGTGAGATGTATGCTGGTTAATTAGAAAATCTTCAAAAAAATGTATTACAATTTTTCTTAAAATTTTTTAAAATGTAACTTTATTGCTGTCGAGGGACGAATAACATCCCCTTGTGATGGCTGGGGCAGTGCCAGGTATTCTTTTTGGAGAAATCTGGGGTAAGATCTGATCTCTCCTCTGCCTTTGCCTCCTTTGGGAATGCAACCTTTGCCTCCTCTAACTTTGCTTTTTTTGGAATACAATGTACATACATGTGCAGGTAGTGCCAACGCAGAATTGATCAGCACTTACCCACATGGAAGAAAAAAAAATATATTTGAAATATATTTTAAAAAATATTCTTCCCAAATATATTGCCATATATTTGAAATGCTACAATTTTTGCCGTATTCAATATATTTCAAAATATATCTCAATAAACACACACACACACACATATATATATATATATATATATATATATATATATATATATATATAAATAAATATATATATATATATATATATATATACTGCATGTTGAAATGCGTATTTATTACAAATTATATAAAAAATATTTTTAAAAATGCATTTCAAATATACTGTATTTTAAAAATACAAATCTACATTTTTGGAATGCATTTACAAAGTTTTGTAAAAATATATGTTAAAATGACTTTTTTATATGTTAATAAAATCTGAAGAATATATTTAAACATATATGTTTGCATATATTTGTAAATGCATTCCAAAAATGCAAATTTGTATTTTTAAAGACATGCAGTATTTTTTAAATGTATTTTTAAAAATATCTTTCATATATTTTGTAATAAAAACACATTTCAACATGCAATATATATATATATATATATATAAATATATTTATTGAAATATTTTTTGAAATATATTGAATTTGGCCAAAATTGTAGCATTTCAAATATATGGCAATATATTTGGGAAGAATATTTTTAAAATATATTTCAAATATATTTTTCTTCCATGTGGGTAACAGTATCTGAATAGGGCCGTGTACAGCAATTCACTTGCATTGGTGGTTGTATGCAGCACCTTTGGCTCCCGGGGTGTGGGAAAGGTTTAGAAACATCAAGATACATGAGGCCTATGAGTTCCCTTATATAGAGAGCATGTGTTTTAACTGTGTTCCTACCTATCCAGCTAGAGTTACCCTTTAACAATACTTCAACAGAATGGGCATATTTTAGTCACAGTTCTAAAATACAGATCTGGGGCCGTCTGTGGCTTCTGCTAACTTTGTTGGCTTCCTCCTGCAGCTGGCGGCTGTTTCTATGTACAGATCTAACGCATGCAACAGAAGCAAGAACGCTGGACAAAATTAGTCACCACACTGCCATGGTAACGCCAATAACAGCCAAGTAACCAGAGCAAAACATAGTACTAATGAGACGGCTTATACATAAACAACTGCACAGAGAGAGGGCATCAGACAGCGTCATAGTATGGGACTGTTCATTTAAACAGAACCTGTCAGGATACACATATGTATGATACCAGTGCGGAATTCTTTGTTGAGGTGCTACTTCTTCAGTACTTTGAAGGAACCATATAACATCAAATGTCACTTGTACTTTAACCACTTGCCCTCTGCAGGATTTACCCCCTTCCTGACCAAGCCATTTTTTGCGTTACGGCGCTGCGTGACGCAACACTGCACCCAAATGAAATTTCGGTCATTTTTTTCCACAGATTGAGCTCTCTTTCGGTGGTATTTGCTCGCCTGTGCGTTTTTTTTTGTTTTGCGCTATAAAAAAAAGGCTGACAATTTTGAGAAAAAAAAAACAATATTTTAGACTTCTTGCTATTAAACATGTCCAGTAAAAAAAAATGTAAAAATCAAATGTCATCATAAATTTAGGCCAAAATATATTCTGCTACATGTCTTTGATAAAAAAAAATCCCATTATGTGTAAATTAATTGGTTTACATGAAAGTTATAGCGTTTACAAATGGCGGTATATATACTGGAATTTTTTTTTTTTACTACTAATGGCGGCGATCAGTGACTTATAGTGGGACTACGGCGGGCATTCTGACACTGGGGAGAACTGATCTGGTGTCACTGACATCCCCAGTGACATCAATACAGTGATCAGTGCTAATAAAAAGCACTGACACTGTACTAATGGCACTGGGCAGGAAAGGGTTAACATATGGGGTGATCAAGGGTTGACTGTGTGCTGTGTGCTGTTTCACATTATGTGCTGTGTGGGTGCTTCACCGTAAGCACACTGCTTTGTATGGCTCTGCTATGCAGAGCCATACAAAGCAGTGTGCAGGAGCTGACAGGGGAGATATTGTATTGTTTACATACAGTTCTCCACCCCTGTCACTCAGCGATCACCGGGTGCCAACGAGTAATTACCGTCCGGGACCCGGTGATTGACAGCCGTGGCTGCGAATGGCGGTGCGGGTAGGGCGTGCATGGCTCGCATGCTCCCCCTACCCGGAACTGCAAAATCACGTATACTGTATATACATAATTTTGCGCACCCGTGCTGCCTGTAGCAGTATTTCTGCTAAGGGGTGGACAGGAAGAGGTTAAACAGAACCTGTCAGGATACACATATGTATGATACCAGTGCTGAATTCTTTGTTGAGGGTGCTACCTCTCCAGTCCTTTGAAGGAACCATATAACATCAAATGTCATTTGTACTTTAATGATGTGGAACATCGTTCATCTGCTACTGAAGAGGAAAGATACATAGCCTGGCACATCATATTATTGCTTGGGATGAGCAGAATCATTTGGGTGTAGTCAATTTTTCTTGAACATTTTCACCAAAGTGTCAATTATCAATTGCTGAGATGCTCAGAAAAACTTTGCTTAAAAAACAATGTTTTATTTTACCTATATTCACTATTTTTTAAACAACATACATTGGTTAACTAGGGTTTCTTCTGGTGGAACAGGTCCAGAGTAGTTAAAAAAACATGGTCTCGGGAGCCATTTAAAGTCCATGAAACTACCGCAATTACACTTTTCTCATTGACTCCAATACCATTCACCAAAACAGTCAGAAATTGTCCTGTTTTCACCAAAATTTCAGAGAATTGAGACTCTCAGTTTCGCTCATCCCTATGACTTGCTTCTCATGTAATTTATTTGACTTTTAATTATTGAGTTTCATTTACTAAAAGCTGTATTAATTTAAAAAAAAAAAAGGAATTAATTTATTGCATCTTCCAAATCCTTAGATGTGGTGGCTGCATTTGTTTTTTTAAGTTTTTTTCCCTTTTTTGTTTATCTGGTCAGTAATACACTTCCTGTCTTATGGCCTGATGAGAATATTGGACAAATGATCGTCCTTTTTTTTGCATGCTAGTCTCGCATCGAAAGTGAAGGGGTCATTAAAGTTACAAAAATTCTTGTACGACAGAATGAAAATTCAGAAGCGATGTAATGTATTTTGTATTGTATTTTCGGACGAAAACTGTACTGATTAAATGAAAATTGTATGATCTGGTATCGTACGAGAAAAATTTTCGTGCTTGTCCCTTCAAATAATTTAGGGCGAAAGCTGCGTACTAACAATCAGATTATCGTACGATAGTTTCGAAAGCGGTATTTTTCGTATGATTTTCTGATAGTGTGTACTAGGCTTTACGGTGGCTTCACTCAGGATGGAGGAGCAACAAAGCCACCTTTGGACAGCAGCATTGTCAATCTGGGGAGAGAGTAGTTAGGGACACTAGCTGATTTAAATTGATTTGACTAAAGACATTAAAAAAACAGAACATTTTTTAACCTCTTCCCATCCAACCCATGTCGATAAACGGCCAGACGGGAGCGCTGCCGATGTGGGTGGAGGTTTCTAAACACAAACCCCCCACCCCCCATTTTCATTGCCTGGGAGCGCTTGGCACCACGATCACAGTGGACAGTGGAACACAAATCGCTGTACGGACCTCTGAGTGAGGTCCTGATTCATGTGATCACTGATTGGCCAATCAGTGATCATATGAATAGTAGTAAAAAAGATGTCACTTCCTGACATCATTGCTTTCTACCTGTGAAATCTGTGAATGATCACAGAGCTCACATGGTACAAAGCTATTCACAACAGCCTTGTACCATGTGACAAGCTGTGACCAATCACAGCTCTCTCACAGTATTTATCAATGGCTGCAAGAGTGCAGCCAGAGAGAAGGAGAAATTATTGTTTTTACAGCCTTTATGGGTGTAAAAGCAATCAGTGTAAAAAAAGAAAAAAAAAAATCTTCATCACTCCCCACAAGTAGTACAGTGTCACTATGGTGACACTGTACTGCTAGGGTGACAGTATGTTAAAAACAAAAACATAAATAATAATATAAAAAAAAAAAAAATGTAAACTTTTTTTGAAAAATTATAATTTTTGGTTATAAACTAATTTGGGTTATTTTTTTTTACTAAAAAGATAGATGAATACATTTTGGCCAAGATTTATGGAGAAAGATTATTTATTTGCAAAATTTTATAAGAAAAATGTTTTTTCAAAATGTTTGGTGCATAAATACCACCTAAATAAAGTTTTATCTATCTCAAAAAATGCTTACAAAAAATCATATGGGTACAGTGTTGCATGACCGCACAATTGTTATTCAAAGTGTGATAGCACTGAAGAAAGCTGAAAATTGGCCTGGACAGGAAGGGGGTGAAAGTGTCCAGACTTGAAGTGGTTAAGGGACTCTGACCAGCCCCTGGTCAGAGTCTGTCCAATAGGGAGAGTCAGGTTAAAGAAGGAGAAAGAAGGCTGCAAGGAGGCCCAATGGGATGGGGCCCACCTGCACTCTTGGAGCTGGAAAGGGAGAAAGCTTGAAACCCACTGGTCCCCTTAGAGAGGACCACCTGTAAGGAGCAGCCCAGCTGATAGACCTGGGCAGATAGGGGAAGGAGCACTCTGGTGGGAGACCAGATTAACCCCTTACTAGTGACTGTTCACCTCTCTATAGGGACAGGAGCCAGATCCCCTGCTCAGGAAAACCCTTAGATTGCTGGGTGAAGAGGAGAAGTTCATCTAGGGTCTGGGGTGGTGCACAAAGGAGATGCTGGCTAGCTCTCCTACAGAGATTGTGCTGCAGAGAAAGCTTTTGAATAATTCCAGGAAGTTTGTCCTCAGTTGTCAGCTCCCTTGGTCATCCTATACCCCCTTTACCCCATCCAAGTTCTAAATCTCCTTATTAAACCTAAAAAAAAAACAAAGCTCAAGGACTGATTCCTGACTCTTGATGCACGCTTGTATGGAGAATGCCGATTGCCTGGCTGTGCAGAATTATATATAAATCCTTAGCAACCCCCAGGGGGGTAGTGCTACAAAAATGTATTCAAGGCAGTTGTGTGTATTGTGCCAGGCTCAGCTTTCCCACTGATAAAAACATTTATGTTCTTTACATTTTAGACAGGGGTACCGCAAGATTTTGCATACTGCTGTTTTTTCACATACCAGGCTAGCTGCTCTGTGTATGGTATGGTAAACACACATGACCTAAATCTTGCCCACAATATAAACTTTTTCAACTGAACAGAACTGCCCTGTTTTTCCAAGATAAAACATGTGAAACGTTGCCAGATCTTGTGCTTACTTTTGATATTTACAAAACTGCCAGCATTGCTGATTTTAGTGGAAGGAAGATACTCTGTTTTGGGCGTGTATTATTAAATACAGGCAAAGTCTGTGTTAATAAAGTGCAGAGTTTTATGGAAACGGGCAGTTTTGAATGTTTCCTCTTTTTTCTAATTTGGGATAATTATGAGGAACGCTAGCTTGTCTATATATTCTATGTGGTGAGAGTTGTACTTAGAGTCCATGGAGCACTAACACGTAAACGATGGCTACTTTTTTATTTACCACTTCATCCTTTCGTTTTATTAACCATAATAAAGGATTACAGGCCTATTAGGACAAAATTAAAACCAATAAACCATTGGAGGGAACATGGTCCAGGGATGGCTACCAACTGTCCCTCACTATCCTCCATTTTTGGTTCCAAGTCCCTCTTTCCCTCTTTCGTTGCCTCTCTTTTTGGCCTGATGTACATGCAGTACCTCTTGTAAAAATGTATTCTTTTTCAAAAGTATTATGCTGCATCTTTCACACAACGTCTTGGGGGTATGCAGAGACATTATGCCAATAAATGACAATAAATGCCTGTGTAGGCAGGTGCAGTCTGTTATCTCTGCAGGTGGCTCTCAACCACAGTGGCAATGCAGATGAAGAGAGGAAGTTGGGAGGAACAAAGTTTCTCTATGATTTCCTCAGGCACATGGGCAGGGATCCGGTGCATGCATATTTACTACTATCTAAACATCAAGGTTTGGGCCTTATTCAGAGGTATTGTAACATTAAATGATTATACTAAACACCACTTATACCTCCCCACTTCACATCCTAGTGACTGACATGATCGCTTAGTACAAGTATCTTCATTTTTTACCTGTTATTATGCATAATATATAGGTTTTTATCATGATATTATTATATATACTCATTATATGTTGTTATGATTAATATATTTATGTGTACCATTCATATGGTCTTTTCTATACACATGGTTCCAACTGCTCCCATGGCCCCTTCCTGTGGGCTTGAGGAGAGGGGTTGGTCATAGTCAGCATCGGCCGCAGATATTTAAAAGCATGACCTGTATTCAGGCTGGTTGCAGCTTTGAGGAAAGGGATTCGTTCCTGAAACGTGTCAGCAGGCCGACTGCACCATCAGTCGGACACTCTGCCATTTGTGTGGCCATCTCAGTGGTCTTACAGGCTTTACATACATGCTATTGTGAGTGTTTTTTGTCCTTTTTCACATTTTTAAATAAACCTTGGATAATGCACTAGGTGTCTGCGCCACCTGTATGCTTTTTTCTTGTGCCCCATGTGACCTTAGTAGCCATCTTGGGTCAGGTGGAATCTATATATCATAGAAACATAGAGAAGTGACAAAAGAAAAAAGACCAAGTGGTCCATCGAGTCTGTTTCTTCTCATCTTTTCATAAATTTTGGAGGGACGTCCAGTTCTTGGTAATGTAGCTGTTGCGCCATATTTTCTCCATTGATGATGACTGTCTTCACTGTGTTCCATGGTTTATCTAATGCCTTGGAAATTCTTTTGTACCTTTCTCCTGACTGGTACCTTTTAACAATGAGATCCCTCTGATGCTTTGGAAGCTCTCTGTGGACCATGGCTTTTGCTGTAGGATGCGACTAAGAATATGTCAGGAAAGACCTACTAGAACAGCTGAACTATATTTGGGGTTAATCAGAGGCACATGATTTTGAATATGATTTCTTAATTCTGAACACAGCTACATCCCCAGTTATAAGATGGTGTGCACACTCATGCAACCACATTAGATTTTTATGTTTACTTCCCCCCCTAAAAGATTTCAGTTTGTTTTTCAATTGAATTGTACAGTTTATAGGTCACATTAAAGGTGGAAAAGGTTATGAAATGATTTATCTTTGTCTCATTTTTTTACATCACAGAAACCTGATATTTTAACAGGGGTGTGTAGACTTATGTTCTGGTTTTTATTTTGTTTTTTCGTTAACTTTTTTGTCTGAGTATAGATCTATGTTTGTCCCAAGCATGTTTGAAACCACTTATTGTTGACTGACTCACTACATCTGCTGAAGTCTATCGCAAGCATCAACTACCCTCTCAGTAAAATAATACTTTCTAAGATTATTTTTTAATTTTCCTTAAGTTAGTTTGAGGTCATGTCCCCGTGTTCTTGATCTTGGTTTCATGTTGAATACTGCCCTCTTGAAGCTTATTCACCCCCTTGATGTATTTAATTGTTTCAATCATGTCACCCCTTTCTCTTCTTTCCTCCAGACTGTACATACTAAGTTCCTGAAATCTCTCTTGATATGTTTTATCCCTCAGACCTTTTTGTTACCCGTCTCTGGACAATCTACCTTGACAATATCCTTTTGTAAGCGAGGTCTCCAGAACAACACACCCTCCTTCCTCCTACTGGTGACTCTTCTAGTGACGCATACTAGAATTCTCCTTGCTTTTCCCACTGCCTGGCCACACTGTTGGCTCATTTTGCAATCATCTGAAATGAGCACCCCCCAAACCTTTTTCCTCTGTAGTGCTGTCAAGCACTGTACCCCCCAATGTTGTACTCTCCCAAGCAGATTATTTTTGCTTAGGTGCATTATTTTACATTTAGAAACATGGAACTGCAGTTTTCACTGCTTTGACCAATCTTCCAGCAGTACCAAATCATGTTCCATGTTACAGACACCTCCAGGGATATCAACCCTGGTGCACACCTTTGTATCATCAGCAAAACAACATACTTTGTCCAATAAACATTTAGTTATATCACTTACATTAGATTAAATAGAACAGGATCTAGTACAGAGCCTTATGGTACAACACTAGTGACTGGTCTCTGTTCTGAATAAACCCCATTTACAACCACACTCGGGTATCTATCCTTTAGCCAATTGTATATCCACTGAACCACCTAAGGGTTAAGTCCTAGCTTGCACAACTTTTGCATTAGATCATTATGTGAATCTGTGTCAAATGCCTTGCTGAAATAAAAATGTAAGACTCTAACCTTGGGGCTTAGCTTGCTTTATTTGAGTACCTAGGATAGGGACAGATTCCCCGTTAGGAAGGGACAGTGCTGAGTGTTAGGGAGAGAGTCCAAAGGAGTAGGGAAAGCGTAAGGCCTAGGTCTACCTTGTTAGTAAGCTTCTCTTTTGGGTTGACCGACCAGGCTGCATTCTGCCCTTCATGGCAGACGATGTCAGCATCCTTGGTTGTACTGCTACTGCTGTCTCTCCGTGAACAGTAATAAGTGTTAATGGACAATGATCCTTCCCTCCGGGTCTGCTTGTACAAGTCAAACTCTATTTTTAATACATTGGTTCTGGAAAACAGGACTCTGTAGGGGTTATTTACTAAAACTGAAGAGTGCAATTTCTGGTGCAACTCTGCATGGAAACCAATCAGCTTCTGGGTTTTATTGCCAAAACATAAATGAACAAGCTGAAGTTAGAAGCTGATTGGCTACCAGATTCTGGCTGCACCAGATTCTGAGTGTTCCAGCTTTTGTAAATCTACTCCGTGTGTTCACTGCCTGCCACAACACACTGCACCTACATAACAAC